ATCTAGATTCAGTTTTCGGATCTTGATCCTTCAAAAAAAAGGATGAAACAAATGTATACAAATGTCTACAAAAGCCTCTCATGTCTACAAAAGCCTGTAATCCACGATGCGAAATTAATTTTGGAAATCTTACTTATCGGATCCTGGTCCTCCAAACTACCTGCTTTACAGCGTATTTGCATGATTTTGGGACTAAATCCAGATTCAGTTTTGGGACCCTTATCCTCCAAACCACAGCAAGTTTGCATGATTTTGGGACTAAATCCAGATTCAATTTTGGGATCCTGATCCTCCAAACATCTCTAAACCACCTTGTTTACAGTTTATTTGCATGATCTTGGGACTAAATCTAGATTCAGCTTTCGGACCCTGATCCTCCAAACCAGTTGCTTTGCAGCGTATTTGCATGATCTTGGGACTACAGTAAATCTAGATTCAGTTTTCGGATCTTGATCCTTCAAAAAAAAGGATGAAACAAATGTATACAAATGTCTACAAAAGCCTCTAATCCACGATGCAAAATTAATTTTGGAAATCTTACTTATCGGATCCTGATCCTCCAAACTACCTAGTTTTGACTGTTTTTGCATGATTTTGGGACAAAATCCAGATTCAGTTTTGGGACCCTTATCCTCCAAACCACCTGGCTTACAGCAAATTTGCATGATTTTGGGACTAAATCAAGATTCAATTTTGGGATCCTGATCCTCCAAACATCTCTAAACCACCTTGTTTACAGTTTATTTGCATGATCTTGGGACTAAATCTAGATTCAGCTTTCGGACCCTGATCCTCCAAACCAGTTGCTTCGCAGCGTATTTGCATGATCTTGGGACTACAGTAAATCTAGATTCAGCTTTTGGATCTTGATCCTTCAAAAAAAAGGATGAAACAAATGTATACAAATGTCTACAAAAGCCTCTCATCCACGATGCAAAATTAATTTTGGAAATCTTACTTATCGGATCCTGATCCTCCAAACTACCTAGTTTTGAATGTTTTTGCATGATTTTGGGACAAAATCCAGATTCAGTTTTGGGACCCTTATCCTCCAAACCACCTGGCTTACAGCAAATTTGCATGATTTTGGGACTAAATCAAGATTCAATTTTGGGATCCTGATCCTCCAAACATCTCTAAACCACCTTGTTTACAGTTTATTTGCATGATCTTGGGACAATCTAGATTCAGCTTTCGGACCCTGATCCTCCAAACCAGTTGCTTTGCAGCGTATTTGCATGATCTTGGGACTACAGTAAATCTAGATTCAGTTTTCGGATCTTGATCCTTCAAAAAAAAGGATGAAACAAATGTATACAAATGTCTACAAAAGCCTCTAATCCACGATGCAAAATTAATTTCGGAAATCTTACTTATCGGATCCTGATCCTCCAAACTACCTAGTTTTGACTGTTTTTGCAGGATTTTGGGACAAAATCCAGATTCAGTTTATTATTTTTGATCTCCCACTGATGCTACTGTAGCCATAATCATGCACTGTAGCCATGGCCAAAAGAATTATGGAAACATGTCAATAGAAAAGTTGTCACCCCTTTCAGGAAACAAATAATTATGGAAATGGTCATATGCCAAGAAACACCCTCACATGGAAAAAAAATATATGGAAATTTAACTGCGGCACGTCACGCCCCTTCCAAAAAGGTTCAGATTACAAGATATTACGTAATTTTGATGTGTGCATTTTTATCAGTAAAAAATAATTATGGAAAAATACGGCACCGGCGCGCCGCAGTTGTTTGCTGGCCCATGCCGAACCTTTTTTCCATTTCCATAATTCTGTCGACGACCATATACAATGTTGATATATATATATATAGTTGCATTTCGATATTCAAACACTGATTCCGAGGTGATGTGAAGAAATTGAAGGATGTGCTGCATCGTCAGCGCTATATGTTCCAGCAACTTCTTCAAATGTGCCAACCCGCTGAGATGAAGACTGACGAATCCGAAGCTGCCATATTGGATGCAGCACGCAAAATTCCAATGGCAAATGAAAGACCTATCACATGGGCAGTTCAGCTTCATGATGATGCAACCACACGGCAGCCGTTGCCTGACTGGCTGTCACGGCCAGTTGAAAAGTCTGTGACATGGTGGTCTTCCGAAAACAGAAAATGGCAAGCCAAGATCGACGCACGTGCTGAGTTAGGCAAAGTGCTGCCTGCAAAGGCAAAGATGAAATACGATGCATTTGTGAATGAGAAGTCTGTACTGCATCTTTTGTTTTCCAAAAAGACTCGGAAGCAAGTGTTGAAATTGCAGTCCATCAAAGACTTGGAAAAAAATGAAAAAAATTGTTCAGCGTGGAGCTCATCATGTCCAGTGATCCATCATTGCTGGCTATCAGAGGAGGCAGTGGTGAAGCAAGGCGCTTAGTACTGGTGAGGAGTGAAGCAATCACAGCTGACGACCTACCTGAACTTCCAGAGTTCATCAGTATGGGTGGTGTCGCCAACTCAGTTGTTGAGTCGTTGAATGCCAATAACGATGCTGATGACGGTGAGTATGGAGATGATGAAGAGGATGCTGCAGATGATTTCAATGGCGAGCATGAGGAGAATGACAATGGAGAAAACATGGAAATTGATGCGGAAGAACAAGAGTTCATGGAGAATGCTGAAGCCATTCAGGATCAGGATGACAGTGACAAGGAGGAAATCCTTTACTACAGTTCTGAGGAAGAGACAGTGAAGGGCATGGCAACATCCAACTTCGGTCGCGTGAAATCATTTGATCACCGCCCAGAGTGGAAAGCATTGTCAGCCCGTGGGGCTACAGAGATTCCACCCAATTGCTTCATCGGGTACCATGCGACCAGCAGAACGTGGCAAGGGTACTTTGGTGAGTCTGGCGGTGGATCAGGTTCGATCTCACGAACTCATGGCGGAAAAACGAACCGCACACCAGGTGAAGCTTTATTGATGGTAATTCAGGGGATGGTGGAGTATTACTGCAGCAAGTTTCCCAGAGATAAGGTCTGGAAGAAACAATTGGAACGGCTAGACACAATTAGCCAAACCATTGCGAAGTTGTGAAGTATGGCTCCACTGTGCATCCAGAGACGATGCGTTCACGTACAGATTGCACGAGATGCTGGCAGCCCACTGTTCCCGGGAAGGTCAAACAATGAGGATACAAGCAATATATATATAGTCAGTCTATATATATATTATATATATTCACATACTTTGTTTCTTGATAGTGGTTTACAACAGTGTATATGTACGCATACATATATATATAAATATAATATATATATATATATATATTCAACATATGACCTTTCTTGGCCAGATTCGTGTCGAAACGCGGAGGATCAACACTTATGTGCGTACCATAGTTGACCATGGGGTATATGGAAGAAAAAAAGAACTGCGCTACACAAAAGGGGTGTTCATGGCTGATGTGCACCATTTTGGGACATGATGATTTACTTTGCGGATGGCTGTTTCAGATTAAACAAGTATTGTATATATAAATATATTTTAAACATAAACATCGCTTTTGATTTAGAATCGTATTAGTATATATGTATTTATATACTTAGTAATTATAGAAAATTATAGTTTTAGATCAAACAACATACATATATATATACTGCCGGACTGAAAGTTATAGTTAATAGATTTGCATGGAGGTTCTCGGGTTATGTTCTCATGTGATTTATGCAATAATATCAACAATGAAGTCTGAGAGTTAGAATGTGATTAGCACACTGGGACCCAAAGTTAGAATGACCCCTGGTACCCGCATTCTAACTTTAAAATTTTGAGCATTCTAACTTCGGAGGTTTTCAACATTTTGGTAACAAGATATAGCATTCTAACTGTCAGTCCGGCAGTATAATATGCCATAAATATATGATGCATACCTACATCTTCCCCGGTGTGCATAATTTCTGCCTTTTGAGGGTGTTCGGCCTTTTGTTGTTAAAAGGCGATTTTGCGCGACCACGGGCGACTTTTGCGATTTCAAGTAATTAGGGCCACCTTTTTGATGGTGGCAGAAATCTCTCCATGTATCTCAATGTTTTCTAGACTATATATATATATACATATCCCAATCCAAAGATAAGGCAATCTTTTCACCAAATTCCCTCAGATCTATGGGTGAAACTGGGTTTACTTGTTTGAAAAACTTCGCCAAACTGCACAACCGTTTGACAACAAAACAGGGCAGTAGCACAGCCCACACTTTCTTGCCTGGAATGTATATATCCTTAGTTTCCCATATGCATGAAAAAGAATCAAGGTAGGAGTCAATTTCAATTGGCTCCTGAGTTAATTGATGCAAGACTGAGAGTCTTTCCACTGTCCCAACAACAATTAACTTCAGTTTTAATTGTTTCCATATGACCTACAGCCTCATTCCTATTAAATCCACATTTGCGTTGGACCAGGGGGTAAGCTGTCTTTTTCTAGTCACCACTGTATCCAATTGAATCTGGTTTTAATTGTTTCGATGATGTTCTCATGCCCTTCACATACCAATTTAATCTGGATTTAATTTTTGCAATGAGCTTCTTGATCCACGTGCTTCCCCAATTAACTCAGGATTTAATTGTTTTTCTCGTGTGATTGACCATTGTCATACAGGATGCCAGGGATCAGCTAGTAGCTCCTTAGTTTAGGAGAGAACCTTGGAGTTTTCAGGGGCTTGGGGACATTGTTTGCTTTGGCAGTGGCTGCGGCTCAATGTCTTAGCGAGGGCGGAAACGAAAGCAGTGGCAGCCATGTGAGGTTGTCGAGTTGCAAGGAACTCTCCGTGAAGCTGCCGGCAAGTGGTTGGAAGTCAAAGGTCGCACTCACTCACCTTTGAGCACATCCAGTTTCCAGGGCAGAAGGACATATTGCCAAGTGCATCGAATGCAAGAGTTGCACCAAGGAATGGATTTTCAGCTATGCTTCTTCTGATAGCCAGATGGAAGTGCAACAGTTGGGTGACCATGTGGAAGAGAAGAACGAGCAGGTCATGCGTAGAAAGCATGCCAAGAAGTTTGCTCAAGAAGCAACTCCAGGCGGTGCCCTTCTTTTGATGGAAAAGCAAGCACAGACCCCCGGCATACTTGATCAGCAACTACAGACCCAAGCAGAAAGATTTGCAAATGAAGGTGATTGCTGATTGCATCGGCTCATTCCAAGACTTTATTGCCAAGCCGCCTGAACAGATTGCAATCTGTCCCGGTGCTGTGTGCACCTCGGAGCAGGTGCGCATTGGTTTCTTCGCAGCGCCCATGAAAAAGTGGCTTGAAGGCAACAAGCACTTGTCTTCCTTTTGCATGGACTTCACGTTCGGCATTGGGCAACATGGTCTAGCTCTTGGAGGCATAGGCCCCCTTGGTTTGGTAGAAGCTCCGAAACACCGTCCTCATGTACGCATGCTGCCACTGTTACTCATGGTTGCCAAATCAGAGGACCGTGAGGCCCATCAAGATCTCTTTAAGCAGTACATGCAGCTCATGAAGGAGCATGAGATTTCTGTGACAGACGGTTTTGCGGATTGCTTTTGCTTTGAGAGTTGCAGGACCTGGTAGAGGCAGAAGCATTGAAAAGTGGTTACATAATGTTTAGCATGGCAACTGTGTTTGTTCTGAGTATGTACCAATGTAATCTGAAAGTTTCCCCTGTCAGGCGAATGAGGACTGGAAACGTATCCGGCTTCACCGTTGTCTTCAGCACAGCAAAATGAATCTGCGGCAGGCGGCGAGGAAAAGATGTCCCTCTTGTGGTGAAAGACGTCTTCGGAATGATGAGTTCCTGAATGTCCTGGTTGCATTCCTTTTGCAGTCAGCATTTTTGCCGAGCTCTTTGGAATTCAACGTCTTTTGGTCGTCTGTGATCTCTAGACTTCGAGGCACAGAAAAAGAGTCCGATTGGCACGAACCAGACATGGCGCTCTACATTCAGGAAAACCTCCTGCAAGAAGGCCCTGATGGCTTTACGGCGGCTTGGCGGACAGGTTTGGGCATTGTTCCTTTTGGTTTCACTACTTACAGCTCCAACGCCCAAGAACGCGCCTGGCGGACTATCAAAGGTCTTCTCAAGCCAGGGACCGTGGTGGCAAAATGTTTGTTGTGGGGCAATTTTTTCGTTTGTGGTTTTCCCGGGTATTTGATTGATTTTTCTTTTGCAGCGCAGGATGCGCCAAAAAGATCCTGCCTCTGTTATTCTGGATGTGGCTGCTGCCCTTACTTCCAAGTTGCGGAACGGGGACTATGACAAGATGCTGGCCACAGTGGCCCAGCCTTGGCAAAGTCTTCAGGTGTCTGACAAAGCTCAGTTGCAGGATGTGGACAGCCTTGATTCGGACGACGGGCCTCAGTTAGTGCAACGAAAGCGTCTGGGTTTAGAAGCAATTCTGAAGCATTTCAGGCGTCATGGGCCAACCGGGACATTTATTGCCTCTGTGTGCTCCCTGACTCTTCAGAACGGCTGCTCTGCATTGCTCTGCCCGCTTGGTGTACGTCTTGCCGAAATATTCGCTGCAGCACGCAGCCAAGAGAAAGCAGGAAATGGCCAGCGCCTTGCGTTTAGCTCTGGCGACCTCTGAGGAGGAAGTGGTCCGCGCAGCTGCTTCTCTTCAGACAGGTCTGGTGGGCCACTTAGGATTGACCTCTGTTATTGTGATAGGCAACATATCATCTTGTGATTATCCTTCATCCGTTTATTAAAGAATTGTGTCTTTTCCAATACCTTTTGATTTGTGTTGGATACTCATGGCAGGAACGGCTTTATGTGTCATCGCATACGGAGTATCTAATAGCGATGACGTTTGCTCGCCCAATCGGCTTTCCTTCTAATCAGCAGCATTCCCTACTGTACCTGCTCGTTTTTGATAAAGGGAAATATGTCATCCCACTGTCCTATGTCCAGGTGCTTATGATTGCCTGCGCCATCTGCATCTCAGAGAAAGCTATTGCACCGTTTGGGTGTCGACGGAGAACCAGCTGTACGAAGGTCATAAGCATTTGGTTTCGGGTGCAGGATGGAGTGAGCATTGCTTGTTCATCCGGGCTCTCCTTGCGAAGGAAACATCCCAGCCCATACCCCTGGGGACGTTGTCAGCTGCTGCCAAGAAAAGAACAAAGAAGCGGCCGCAGGCCAAGAGATCAGCCAAGATGAAAGCAATGCTGAGAGCTCCTGAGGCATTGTCCTCTGGCGTTGCAGGCGCTGAAGCAGTAGAAGTTGTTCCGATGAATTCCCAAACCCAAGAGCTTCTACCAGGTGGTTTGGTGGAAGGAAAGGAGCTCCCTATTTTGGATTCTGTTGGGCAGGAAAAAGAGTCTATGTGCATGGCCGCAACCAACAGCGGCAAGCGCTGCAGACGAAAGAGATCGCATGGCGCTTTTTGCTTCCACCGCCATCAGATCGCAAGTTCGCCCAAATGGAGTTTGACGCTCTTTGAATCCGTGAAGGAGCCGGCGCAAAGCGCCATGGAATCCTGGGAAAAGGCGCAATTGGACCTTGCCATCCAATTGTCGCAGACAGAGAATGAAGAGTTGTCTGCCCGCATGCAAGAGAGCTGCCGACGGGTCGACGCCAGGTTGCGGCTTTTGGGTCTTCGTCGTGTCCCTGTCCCTGTCGAAGGGAACTGCCAATTTGATGCTTTGGTCTACTCTGCAGATGTTCCAATGAGTGCAATGGAGATGAGGAGCTTTGTGGTTCAATATCTACGGCCACTGGCCCGTTTCTTTCAAGATCGAACCCAGGGGCAATTTGCTGGCAGGTATGATTCATACTGCTCCAACCTGGCCAAGTCAGGAAGCTGAGGGGACGAGCTGTCACTGCTGGGTGCGGCTCACTTGTTGAGACGTCCAATTCATCTGGTCACGGACACCGTCTCTGACAAGCCAGAGGAGTACATCCGAATCATCGAGCCGCCCAGCATTATCCATGAGTCCCTTTGGGGCAGCCAGGTGGTTTTGGCATGTTTCATGGACAGACACTTCGACGCGACCGAGCCAGATTCTAGCTAGTGTAACCTGCCCTTCGCTGAGAAAAATCTTTGTTCACGGCTGATACAGGACAATTAAATCCAGATTTAATTTTTCGTTGGGAGTTTCATTCAAGGCTATTATACAGCGGCCTCTGCTGCCCTTGAGAACCCACCATCTGATTCAAAAATTCTTTCGTGCGCATGGTTGACCTATTGAAAGTAATTATTTTCGATTGCTATTATTATGTTTGATTCCTGGCTGGTAGAGTGGAGATGCGAGTGCCTTGTCAGAATTGTGGCGACGGGAAGGCTGGCAGCCACTGGGTTCTGGAGAATTAAATCTGGATTTAATTCTTGGGGCACGCGGACCAGCAGCATTGAGTGAGTGGAACCCATTAAACGAATTCAATTAAATCTTGGTTCAATTGTCGAGGATGTCGTTGAGGGTAACCCATGCAGCTGAAACATGCAACAGAAACCATGCAATTAAACCTCGTTTCAATTGCTGGGGTCATGCGACTTTGCGCAAGCCACCAGACCACAACAATAAACCATTGAGTTAATTCTTTCTAACTCTTACCTTCAGTGCCAACCTCTTTGATTTTGGGCTGTGGCCAATGCAGGGCATTAGGTCATATTAGGTCAGGCATGGTCATTTCGATCTCTCCCGCAAGAATGCGAAAACTAGTTGGAATATGTTGGAATGCCTTTGAATTGGGTTTTGCTGTCTGGAAGTTCGTAACCCTCAAAAGAAAAACCGGGCCGGAGCAGGAGACTTTTCCCGACCCAGCGGCGACTTTTCGCGACTTAAAGGCGACTTTACGCGACAACCGTTTTTTTTATGCACTATCTCCCATTGGGGCCGGAGCATGTTCCAGTTGAAGCCCATCCAAGGCCAAATTCAAACATGTTTATGCCAGAGCAAACTCTTGCAATTGCAACAAGCCGGTGTGTGACAGCTGAGGATATAGGCACATGAAATAGTTTGGGTAAAACAAAAACTCTATTGGGATGGCTTGGCAAAACCAAGAAATGCATTGGGATTGTTTGCACAAGCAAAGAAACTTGTTGGGATAATTATTGGTTAAACTTAAACTACTCAAACCAAAAAATGTGGTGGGATAGTTTGGGCAAACCAAGGCAGATATGAAAATGTATTTAGGTAATTTGGGTAAATCAAAGCATGTCTAGTGGAGTAATTTGGTTAGGGCAGTTTCGGTTTTATGATTTTCCGACAGGCGATTCTGAAGACAAAAGCCGTTTCTGAACAAATCGAGCAGAAAATTTCTGCCTTTTAGTAAAGGAGAGAAAAAAACGCATACCTGGAAGATCCAGGTATATACATATATATATATATGTGTGTGTGTGTATGAGGAACATTTGGGGAATATGGGGTTTCCCCAGTTTTTGGGGTATGTGTGTGATCTTCTCAGGAGTGTGATGGTGTGGCGCGTCACGTTCGCCTTCAGGTGCACGAGAAGCTGGGAGTGAGTGTTTCAGATCGGGAGACAACGTCACGAGGAAATGATGGTGAACCTAAGGAGAACCATCCCCAAATGCCGATTGAGCTATTTATATCATGAGAATATCTATCTAATTATATATTATGCTCTTTTTAGTTTGGTGAATCCTCAAAGAATCTGCCAGGAATCCGTTGGAATCGCAAGTGGTCCTTCTTCAACTTAGTTCTGTGATCTCCTGTGGTTCTGCGCAGTTGCTAGGTTTGGCCGTACCATGGGGTGTTACCCCAAGAAATACCACGCAGAAAGATCATGAGTCAGTGAAACATACGTGTAAACTGGGCTGCATACAGCTTGCAGATGCTTGCAGTCTTTCAGTGGACTTTAAATTTCGATAAAAATCGGATTTTGCAGTCTTGCGGTGATTTCCCTCCCGTGATGATGCTGTTGTTGGAGCATGTTCCTTGTTCCGGCGTAGTGTTGATTTTTGGTTGCATGGGTGCTTCCCACCATTGCGATAGGGGTTATCCTCTATGAGACTTGGGAAACAACCATGGTACCCCAAAAAATAGAGACGCGTCCCCACTGGTGGCTTATTGTGTGCGAATTATACACCAACCCCAACTATTTCCAGAACGGCCCCTCATGAGGGAGTGATTCTTGCTCTAAAAATGGTCAAACATATGGGTATTTACATGATTAAAACAGTGCTTTGTGACCAAAATAGGCTCAAAACCGTTGGTTTCCTGAAAGGCTGATCGGCGCCTTGGCTCCTTGCAGCAGATTTGGTGCACCAGGCCATGTTCAAAGCCGTGCGAATCAAAGTCCACACTGGACAACTCCTACACTGTCCTGGATAAAGATGTTTAGGTCGCAAGTGAAGCTTCAAACCAAACTCGGCTTGCAAGTGGTTCAATTTGATTCCTTCCAGTTCAATGTTTTTTTGTTGAAAGCAGAGCCTCTACATTCGAATTATTTAAGGCTCCGAAGCAGCACGTTGTTTCAAGATGTTTCGGGTCACATGGAGGTTTCCGAGTTTTTTGGCCGATGTCTTGACATGAATGGGAAACGCTCACGATTGACAACGATGTGGCGTTTCCAGGCCAGACATCTTAGAATGGTTTTGGCTTGAAAGTATTGAAACCCAAAGTGGGCCTACCAATGTGACCAAATTCGAGGCAGGCCTCTCAATTTAGGATGCGCGAAATTAGGATGCCCAAAATGTGCGCATGTTTCATATTTTTTGCAGATGAAAAACGCCCGCTCGTGTAGGGCGTGCCCCGATTCTTTGCAGTCTTTTGCAAGCCTTATGTTCAAACTTCTGCTGGTGTGTTCACGTTTGCTGGGATGATGCTTCAACATTTTCACGATGCTTTAAAGAAACTTATTTGGATGTGACATCTGTGACATCTTGTTATTCTTTCAGGCTTTGCTTTCGACCGTTTGCAGTGTTCTCCTGTCACTGATCTCTTTCATTTGCCGTCCATGACTCCATGACCCTGTTGATGCTGTACTCATTGCTCAGTCCTCTCCCATATCATCATTGCACATTTCATTGATCAAATCAATCCCATTTCATTCTCACATCATATCATCCTTCCGCAGTATGTTTCTAACGCCCATGTCTATCCATGCCCATGTCTGCGCCTGCCATGGCAGAGAAGCCGTTGCTGGTCATCAAGGCCTGAGCCCCCGGAGATTTCAGCGCGAAGTCATTTGCTGATTTTGCTGAGCGCACGAATCGTGACGCTTCGTGACGCACTGCCCAGGGCATTCCGGAGACTCTGCACGTGCCGGATTTGCGGGTCTTTTTTGAA